TAATGGCTTGGAGTAGCGTGGCGCCAGAGTCCCAGTAGCTCCAAACATAGAAGGGGATTTTCAACAGATCCTGAGGAAGCTTTCAAATAACACTTGAAACACAGAAATATAGGAAAATGACAAAACGAAAGACCAAATTACAACCTCAAACCTCCAGCCCATCTAAAGAAACCCTAGGAGCGATGTATATAGAAGAAAATATATCCCATCCACCTCATATATCGGACACAATAGCCACTAAAATTGACAAACAACTCCAGGAAGCTTTAAAGAAATTCAAACTCGAAATAATCTCCCAGATAAAAAAAGAAATGATAAAAGAAATGAAAGAGATTCTAAATATATCTAAAGAAAACACAGATAAAAAATTGGAGGAACTAAACAAAAAGATAGAATCCCTAGACGAGCAATATAAGAAACAAACAGAATACATAATGCAGATGCACAGAGATATACAGGAAATAAAAAACTCCACTGAAAGTTGTAAAAACCGCCTTAATGAAAGTGAAGATAGAATTTCAGACCTTGAAGACAGGATTGCAGCTAGTGAACAGGAAAGGAAAGATCTTTTGAAAATAACAAGGAACCAGGAAACAACAATTCAACAACTGCAAGACGATGCAAAGAAGAATAACATAAGAATGATAGGGATTAATGAAAGAGAGGGAGACAACATGAAGGATGTCAGGAGGATATTTAGAGAAGTAATAGCTGAAAATTTCCCAAGCATGAGATCAGAAACTGACATCAGGATCAGTGAAACATATAGAACTCCAAACAGTCATAACCAAAATAAAACTACACCCAGACATATAATAGTCACCATCCCAGAAATCCAACACAAGAATAGATTATTAAAAGCTGTCAGAGAGAAAAGACAAATCACTTATAAAGGAAAACCTATCAGAATCACAGCAGACTTCTCAGCACAAACGATAAAGTCAAGAAGAGCATGGAGTGAAGTATTCCAGATCCTAAAGCAAAATGATTTCCAACCAAGACTGATATATCCTACAAAACTATCATTCAAAATAGATGGTGCAATACGATACTTCCATGACAAAGAACAGCTGAAGAACTTCATGAACACCAAACCAATCCTGCAAAAAATATTGAAAGACAGTTTAGATACACAAAGGAAAAAACCACTAAGCAAAGCAAATAATTAAACAGAACCGAAAGATAAAGATGCAACAGCAGAGAGATAACATTCCTACAATTAACCAGCATTTAACAGTAATAACCATTAATGTAAATGGTCTCAATGCACCAATCAAAAGAAACAGACTAGCAGAATGGATCAAGAAACAAAATCCAACCATATGCTGTTTACAGGAAACCCATCTAACCCAGAAAGATACTCACAGACTGAAAGTCAAAGGATGGAAAACAATTCTTCATGCAGCAGGAATCCAAAAAAAGGCAGGAGTAGCCATTCTGTTTGCAGACAACGTGAACTTTAAACCAACAATGACCATAAAGGACAAAGAAGGTCACTACATACTCGTAAGGGGAAAACTCCAAGAGGAAGAGATAACTATCTTAAATATATACGCACCAAACTCCAGAGCACCCAGTTATATAAAACAATTATTAACAGAAATGAAAACTCAAATTATCAGTAACACAATTGTAACAGGAGACCTTAATACACCACTGACACCAAGGGACAGATCAACCAGACAGAAAATGAGCAAAGAAATAACAGAACTGAATCACACCTGTGAACAAATGGGTTTGATAGACATATACAGAATGTTCCACCCAACAACATCAGAATACACATTCTTCTCAGCAGTACATGGATCATTTTCTAAAATAGACCATATATTAGCTCACAGAACATATTTAAGCAAATGCAAAAGAGTTGAAATCATCCCTTGCATATTATCGGATCATAGCGCTCTGAAATTAGAAATTAATGACAAAGGATACTGCAAAAATTCCGCAAACACATGGAAACTAAATAACACACTCTTGAGTAATCAGTGGGTCACAGAAGAAATTAAAGAAGAAATTAAACAATACCTAAAAGAAAATGAAAATGCAGATACAACTTACCGGAATCTGTGGCATGCAATGAAAGCCGTTCTGAGAGGAAAATTTATTGCACTGAGTTCCCACATCAGGAAAACAGAACGAATACAAATAAATAACTTGATGCTACACCTCAAACAGCTAGAAAAAGAAGAGCAAGTCAAGCCCAAAGCCAAAAGAAGAGAGGAAATTATAAAAATCAGAGCAGAAATCAATGCAATAGAGACTAAGAAAACAATCCAAAGAATCAACGAATCAAAGAGTTGGTTCTTTGAAAGAATAAATAAAATCGATAAGCCCCTAGCCAACCTTATTTAAAAAAGGAAAGAAAAAGCTCAAATTCATGCAATAAGAAATGAAAAAGGAGAAATCACTACAGACCCAATAGAAATACAGAGGATCATCAACACCTATTTCGAAAACCTCTACTCTCAAAAGTTTGATAACACAGAAGAAATAGACAGATTCTTAGAAGCATATGAAGTACCAAAGCTAGATCAAGAGGATATAAAACTGTTGAATAACCCAATCTCTGCTAATGAAATTGAGAATGCAATTGGGTCCTTGCCCACCAAGAAGAGCCCAGGCCCAGATGGATTCACTGCAGAATTCTACAAGAAATATAAAGAAGACCTAATGCCGACACTCCTCAAACTATTCAATGAAATTGAAAGGGAAGCAATCCTTCCTAAGTCATTCCTGGAAGCAAATATTACTCTAGTACCAAAACCTGAGAAAGACCCAACTATAAAAGAGAACTATAGACCGATCTCCCTAATGAACACAGATGCAAAAATCCTCAATAAAATATTGGCAAATAGGATCCAGCAAATCATCAAGAAGATTATACACCATGACCAGGTGGGATTCATCCCAGGAATGCAAGGATGGTTCAACATACGCAAATCAATAAATGTAATCCACCATATCAATAAAGCCAAAAATAAGAATCACATGATCATCTCTATAGATGCAGAAAAAGCCTTCAATAAGGTCCAACACTTATTCATGATAAGAACTTTACAGAAAATTGGAATAAATGGTCTTTACCTCAATATAATAAAGGCCATTCATGACAAACCAACAGCCAGCATCATACTAAATGGCCAAAAATTGAAAGCCTTTACTTTAAAGTCGGGTACAAGACAAGGATGTCCTTTATCACCACTCCTATTTAATATAGTACTGGAAGTACTAGCCAGAGCAATTAGGCAAGAAAGAGAAATAAAAGGGGTAAAGATAGGAAAAGAAGAAGTTAAATTATCATTGTTTGCAGATGACATGATACTCTACATAGAAGACCCCCTAAACTCCATTGAAATACTCTTAGATACAATAAATAAATTCAGTAATGTGGCTGGATACAAAACCAATAATCAGAAATCAATAGCATTCCTATACACGAACAACAAAATTACAGAGAGGGAAATAAGAGAAACTGGACTATTCACATTAGCAAGCAAAAAAATGAAATATTTAGGAATTACTCTTACGAAAGAAGTGAAAGACTTATACAGTGAAAATTATAATACACTGAAAAAGGAAATTGAAGATGATCTCAGAAAATGGAAAGACATCCCTTGCTCATGGATAGGAAGAACAAACATTGTGAAAATGGCCATTCTCCCAAAACTGTTATACAGATTCAATGCAATCCCAATAGAAATACCATCAACATACCTTATAGATCTAGAGAAATCACTCCTAAATTTCATCTGGAACCAGAAGAGACCTAGAATCGCAAAGGCAATTCTAAGCAGCAAAGACAAAGCAGGAGGCATCACAATCCCTGACTTGAAGTTATACTACAAAGCAACAGTAGTAAAATCAACATGGTATTGGAATCAAAACAGAGCTGAAGATCAGTGGAATAGATTAGAAGATACAACCACAACTACGAGCACACTCAACCACCTTATTTTTGATAAAGGAGCCAAGCAGGTTCACTGGAAGAACGACAGTCTCTTTAATAAATGGTGCTGGAAAAACTGGCTCTCCATTTGCCGAAAACTAAAGCTAGACCCATGTCTATCACCATATACTAAATTAAAATCTAAATGGGTCAAAGATCTGAATATTAAAACAGAAACACTAAATCTATTGGAAGACAAAATAGGTAGAAACCTTGGAGACATAGGAGTAGGTAAAGAATTCATGAACAGGACTCAAACCGCACGGGAAATACTTCCCAGAATCAATAACTGGGACCACTTCTTATTAAAAAGTTTCTGCATGTCAAAAGAAATCTCCAGCATAGTGAAAAGAAAACCCACAAACTGGGAAAAGATTTTAGTGAACTCTCTCTCAGACAAGGGACTCTTGTCTAAAACATACAAAGAATTAAAGAAACTCAGACCTCCGAAATTCAAAGATCCAATCCAAAAATGGGCATCTGAGATGAATATGCAATTCTCAGATGAAGAAATGCAAATGGCAAATAAATACATGAAAAAATGCTCATCATCATTGGTCATTAGAGAAATGCAAATTAAAACCACACTGAGATACCATCTCACTCCTGAAAGAATGGCCAGGATCAAGAAAACCGACAACAAATGCTGGAGAGGCTGTGGGGAAAAAGGAACTCTCCTGCACTGCTGGTGGGAGTGTAGACTGGTACAGCCTTTGTGGAGATCTGTCTGGAGATTTCTCAAAAAGTTGGGACTGGAAATCCCATTTATTCCAGCTATTCCACTTCTAGGCATATTCCCAGAAGAACTGAAAGCATCATACCACAGTGATATATGTGCACCTATGTTTATAGCAGCACAATTTGTAATCGCCAGATCTTGGAAACAACCCAAGTGCCCATCAACTGAGGAATGGATAAAAAAGTTGTGGTATTTCTATACAATGGAGTATTATTCAGCTATAAAGAAGGATCACATTGAGATATTTATCAATAAATGGGCGCAGCTTGAGACCATACTCATAAGTGAAATAAATCAATCTCGCATGTGTGAATACCGAATAGTTTCCCTAATGTAAGTAATGATTCAAATATATAAAAATATGTGGTAATCATGATTCCCCATTATGTGGCCTTGAAGCCTTATAAAGTTTTCACTTATTAATTGGAAAGGCTTTATTCTGGGCTTCTTGATATGGAAATATTTGAAGCTATAGTATATGAAGTTTTATTCAAATATTTCAAGGAAAAAGACAGACACTTGGTAACTACTATTAAGTTGGGTTATTTGGTGGTGAACCACTAGGTTGCTGAAACAATCATGCTTTGACCTGTATTGTTATATTGTTATGTCCTGTTTTATCTCAATCTCCCCCTTATTGTCTCAAAAAAAATTATTTAGCCATTTCTTATGTTTGTCTTAATTAAAGAAAAAATTCAAAAAAAAATTAGGATATATAAATAGTAACTCTTTTCGATTTCCTATTAACTTGTTTTGAAGTCCTGTAGTACTCCCACGATCTTGTTTTGACTGATTAGACTCTGTTCCATTCTATATGATAGTATCAAGTTTGAAGACATAGGCAACTACTTTGAAGACAATAAGATTCACTAAGATACCAATTCTGGTTTGACTATTGTCTTCTTTGGAAGTCCTGTAATGTTTACAATGCCTAAGTTTTATTGGTCTTGTTCTCTACTGTTTTGTCCAACTTTATAATATCTAATAAGATAGACAATTCTTTTTAAGGAAACAAGGGACAACGTTGATAACTATTGTTGATAAACTTGTACTCTGTTCTACACCATGCGCTATGTCTATCCTTGGTATTGACTGACAGCTTTGTTTTGCCATATTTGACTGTATTCTTCCCCCCCCCCCCATGAAAGTAATAAGCACTAAGGAGTAATAAAATCCAAGATGTGTAAATTTTGTTGTAAAAAAGAGAGGGGAAAAAAAAAAAGAAAAAGAGCTCTAACGGATATAACAGCAAGTGTGTTTGGGGGTGTTAAATAGCTGACTTTATCAATGTTTTTGGAACATTGAACACAGCTGTTTGCAGTCTCCCTGTTTGAATGTCCACCTTGTGTTCTTTGATACTGTGATTTGAGGAACTGTTTTCAAGAAAATAGTGTGTAATCTACTAGCAGGTAATTTCTTACTGTTATGGTTTTTTGTTTTGTTTTGTTTTGTTTTGTTTTGTTTTGTTTTGTAGTTCTGTATTGCGTGTACCCTTACGCCGCTTTGGTTTGTTTTGTGTTTTTCTCTTTTTCCTCTTAAATAAAAAAAAAAAGAAAAAAAAAGAAACAAACAGAATATATAAAACAGATGCAAAAAGATATACAGGACATCAAAAATTCCACTGAAAGTTGTAAAAACAGCCTCAATGTATGTGAAGATAGAATTTCAAACCAGACCTTGAAGACAAGATTGCAGCCAGTGAACATGAAAGGAAAGATCTTTTAAAAATAACAAGAAATCAGGAAATAACAAATCAACACCTGCAAGATGATGCAAAGAAAAACAACATAAGGTTGATAGGGATAAATGAAAAAGAAGGCGACAATACAAAGGATGTCAAGAGGATATTTAGAGAAGTAATAGCTGAAAATTTCCCAAACACGAGATTGGAAACTGATATCAAGATCCATGAAGCATATAGAACTCCAAATAGACATAACCAAAATAAAACTATACCCAGGCATATAATAATGACCATCCCGGAAATCAAACAAAAGAATAGAATATTAAAAGCTGTCAGAGAGAAAAGACAGATCACCTATAAAGGAAAACCTATCAGAATCACAGCAGACTTCTCAGCACAAACAATAAAGTCAAGAAGAGCATGGAGTGAAGTATTTCAGATACTTACAGAAAATGATTTCCAACCTAGGCTGATGTACCCTGAAAAACTGTCCTTCAAAATCAATGGAGAAATAAGATACTTCCATGAAAAGAACAGCTGAAGAACTTCATGATCACCAAGCCAACCCTGCAAAGAATACTGAAAGACAGTTTAAATACATTTAGTAAAAAACCATTAAACGAAGCAGACAATTAAACAGAACAGAAAGATAAAGATGCAACTGCAGAAAGATAACATGTCAACAATAAACCAATATACAACAGTTATAGCCATTAATGTAAATGGTCTCAATGCACCAATTAAAAGAAACAGACTGGCAGAATGGATCAAGAAACAACATCCCACCTTATGCTGTCTACAAGAAACCCATCTAACCCAAAAGGATACCCACAGACTGAAAGTCAAAGGATGGAAAACAATACTTCATGCAACAGGAACCCAAAAAAAAGCGGGGGTAGCTATTCCATTCGCAGACAACATGAACTTCAAACCAAGAATGATCAGAAGAGATAAAGAAGGTCACTACATACCGGTTAGGGGAAAACTTCAAGAGGAAGAGATAACTATCTTAACTATAAATGCACCAAATTCCAGAGCACCCAGTTATATAAAACAAGTATTAACAGAAATGAAAAACCAAATTAGCAGTAATACAATTATAACAGGAGATCTTAACACACCATTGACACCAATGGACAGATCAACCAGACAGAAAATCAGCAAAGAAATAAAAGAACTGAATCACAACTGTGAACAAATGGACTTGATAGACATATACAGAGTATTCCACCCAATAACAACAGAATACACATTCTTCTCAGCAGTACATGGGTCATTCTCTAAAATAGACCATATATTAACTCACAGAACATATTTACATAAATGCAAAAGAGTTGAAATTATCCCTTGCATGTTATCGGATCATAGCGCTATGAAATTAGAAACTAATGATAAAAGATACTACAAAAATCCCACAAACACGTGGAAACTGAATAACACACTCTTGAGTAATCAGTGGGTCACAGAGGAAATTAAAGAAGAAGTTAAACAATACCTACAAACAAATGAAAACACAAATACAACTTACCAGAATCTGTGGGATGCAATGAAAGCCGTCCTCAGAGGAAAATTTATTGCACTGAGTTCCCACATCAGGAAGACAGAATGAATACAAATAAATAACCTGATGTTACACCTTAAACATCTAAAAGAAGAAGAGCAAGTCAAGCCCAAAGCCAAAAGAAGAGAGAAAATTATAAAAATCAGAGCAGAAATCAATGCAATAGAGACTAAGAAAACAATACAAAAAAATCAATGAATCAAAGAGTTGGTTCTTTGAAAGAATAAAGAGTAGCACCATCAGGAAGCATTTCCTTTGGGAGGCTGTGTACCAGATTCACATCATGGAACCAAGGATCAGTGGGGTGGGCTGATAGGGGAGACCCCAGGCCTGAACCAAAAGAAATCCTCCAAACCATTGTGTAATGTGGCTTGCATGGCATTGCCTTCCCCAGTGTTTGGTTTTCACTTTCCCTAGATTTTCTTTTAAATTTACACTGCTGTGAATCAAATTGTTTTGTACAAATCACATAAAAACAAAGTCTCACCATTGAAATGCAAGTGCAAAACCGGAAGACTGGGACTTTCTTTCTGCAGCCCTCTGCAGCTTTCCTATACTTGCAGGTCAGGGGTTGTAGTCATGCCCAGTCACTGGCTGTAACAGCACCAGAATCACATGTGAATCACCAGTGTCACCATTATCCACAACTCTTGCTGATTTGTTAGCCAGACATACATTCAGAGATATGGAAACCCTGGTACCCCTCCAATACCTTTCCCTGATAGAATCATCCCCACCCCAGGCCAGACCTGGCAGCATTTCTATGGTGAGACCAGAGATTACTATTTCAGCCAGTCACTCTGGCCCAGGTGACAGTCAACAACTCAGCATTTACTGCCCAGAGGAGGGGAGAAGAAAGTCCGCAAACCAGCAGCCTCAGCACCCATCTGAGGAACCCAAGATCAATGAGCACAAGCAGTAGAAAGGAAAAGGGAAGGAAAATCAGTGAAATGTAACAGAGAAGTAGAGAAATCATGAAGGCAAAGCAGATATTGAGAAGGGTTAACGAAAATGACTAAACTGTAGTCATACTGATGAGAAAAAATGAGAAAGAAGATACTCACAATCAATGTGAGGGACTAAGGAGGCTCCACTTTGCAGGATGATGATGAACAGGGGTCTAAGGTAAAAGCTTAAGGAGCTGATACTCCTAGATGGAACATACACATTCAAAGAAAGAGCCTGGAAAAGAAATAGCAAAATTAAATTCTTAGTTAAAACCTTTCCGAGAAAAGAAACTTTCAATGGTATAGTCCACCAGACAGTGAAGGAAGAAATAATGTTGATTTTACTTAAATTGTTTAGAAAATTTAAGAGGAAAGAATGCTTCCCAACTTGCTCTATGAGGCCATCATTATTAATTCCAGATATAGACAAAGGTATTACAAGATAAGAAAATGACCCCAAAGATTGACATTTCTGTGAACATATCTGTAATAATTCTCAACAAATCTGAGAAAAGAATCCAACACCACACAAAGAACACAGCACAACCAATTGTGTTTCTACAGTAAATAATGTAATATTTACATTATTTTAATTAATGTAATTAATTAAATTAATTACATTAAGTTAAATTAATGTAATTAAATTAACTGCATTATTCTACAGTAAAATAATGTAATATTTCATTATGTTAATAAGCTAAGAGTGAGGAAATGTATATTACCTTAGAAGACACAGAGCTTTTTTTTAAAATTCTAGCATTCTGATAGGAAAAAAAACTCAAAAAATAGGTACAGGAGCAGGCAAATCTTGTCAACTTGATGGGCCACACCCAGGAAAGCCCCACTCTGTGCCACAGTATTAGGTAGTATTTTAAATTGGCAGTTTGCAGCATGCAGAAAGGGGTCTGTGCTTCTTGCTAGGAACCTGCTCCAAAATGAAAACTCCAGATTTCTAAATACCAATTGTGCTCCTAGCAGCAAAATAATATTCTGATGAACTTGGGTGCCCCCTGCTGGTCCAGAGCACCTCAGAAGGGAGGTTTGTGTCACATGGAGATATGTCTCTCCCACAGAAATACAGGGCTGTGCCTTTGGCTCCCACACTGCTCATTTCCAAGTAGGCATTGCTTTTGGATGATCTCTGGAGATGGGTACTCTGCCTTTCACAGGTATAGACTATTCTATTGTGTGACTATCATCGTTGTTTCTAATGTGACCAACCCAGCTCATGTAGTAAGCACTGAAGGTAAATCCAGAGAATGTGTCAGGGAGATTCAGGGACCACCACCCCCTGGATGCACCAAGCCTCCCCTGGACTCTGCCAGGTGCACGTCACACTGGATTCCTGCAAACAGATAAACAATGTTCAGGGAAAATCATACAGAAATGAATACAGCTACTTACAAAGCATCAACTGAGGCATGGATACAAAAAATGTGGTATTTTATAGTGGAGCAATACTCAGCTATAAAGAAGGATGCACTGAGGCTTTTATAGCTAAGTGGATGCAACCGGAGATCATACTCATAAGTGAAATAAATAAAAGTCACATGTGTAAATACCATATTGCCTCTCTAATGTAAGAATCTGAAAGAGCAAATAAGACCCCAAATCTACAACAAACATTGCATAAAGGTAAGAAACTGTTCAAAGGGGAAAAGTAACTGGGATAGGGGAAGGAGGAAGAAAGGAAAGAAGGAAAAAGATATAAATGTGTATATATATTTTATTTGTATATATTTCTGTATATATACATATATTTGTATATATACATAAGTTGGCTAAGATGACTATACTACTAGTTCTATTAGTTCTTAGAAAAGAACAGTTAATACTCATATAATTGGATTAACTTTGCATGTCTATCTCTGGTAACCTAAGCAACTCTTTTCAAAATAGCAATATGCAATTTGTTTAACCATTGTTAAATTCCTATCAGCTTGTTTTGAAAGCCTATATAGTTATTACTTGGGGTTTAGTGATGTTGTTGGTTGTTTCTTGCTTTTAACTCTTTTTTTTGTGGTTTCTTTTCTCCTTTAAATAAAAAAAAAAGAGTCTTAATACACCCCATTCCTGAAAATGACTTTGGTAAGCAATCAGAAATAAAACTCACCTGGTTTCTTTTCTGTCCCAGACACAGGGGTGCCAGCTTCTCCCCAGGCACACCGGTGTGCCCCTCCTTATGGTGCCAGAACAGGAGAACCTCATGTGCCCAGCTCCAGAGTGCAGCGCACCTGGTGCTGTCCTTGGTGTCCCATAGATGACTGTGATGGTACCAGGACCCAGGAGCAGCAGCAGCAGGATGGTCACCATTCTCACCCCCATCCCACCCTCCCTCCCAGCAAGGCCAGGGCAGTCTGGACCTGTCCCTTCTGGAATCCTCTCTAGAGACTGAAGTTGCTCTGGCCTCTGGGCTTTGTGCATGTTGAAGAGGGCCCCCTGCAGCAGTTTCACCCTGAGCTGTCACAGCTGGGCTCTCTGCCTTGCTCTCTTTTGTTCCTAATGACATCTGGCCTTTTTGAGATCAGAAATAGGCATTTACATAGGAATGGCATTTTTGTGTTTGAGATTGTTTTTCCTGGCCAGGATTTAAACAAAATTCTAACATCTGAGCTCAGTAAGGATGACTTCGTGGTAGTCGCCACAAACCTCTGTTTTACTGAATGGAAACTGCCTGCCCCAACTAAAAATTTCACAACTTTATCAGGGAATGTATGAATGTTTTGTTTTCTCCAATCTCTCCATTTGTGATCATTTCACTCACTTTTCAAATGAAAAGGGATTGGGATGGCTCTGGGGAGCAGAACCTCCCTAAAGAGACTTGAGGGGTTGATCAGCCCTAGTACCAAGGAGCCCTAAGACTCTCCACCTCACCTAGGTGCCACCCTCTGGGCCCATCCTGTCACCAGCAGCCATCTGCACTCACAGTGGTATATCAACCAACAGATCCTCCCCTGGAATTTTTCCGTGGTGCCCTAGTTAGAAGGACCCCTCCTATTATTACGGCCAAAACTGTGAGCAAAATTTCTACTTCCACCAGTGTGGAAGTAGATCCTTTCTGTACCCAGAAAGGATCAGGTCCTCCAGCCAAAATGTGTTCCCCGGGGAGCCCCTCTACCTGAGCCTCACAAAGTAAGCATGATGACCTCATGCAAAGGGGATGTGCAGATACTGTGCAGCAAAATAAAATGTCCTTTGCATAGATGTTAATCCTATTTATAGGTGAATTAAGTACAGCGTTTGCCTCTATTCTCATGTCTAGGACTAACTGCTGAGTTGCTGGGTGAGTCCAAAACTGTGTTTATTTCCAATAATTAGTACATTGAAATCTCTTGCAAACTGTAGAAATAATGCCTTGCCAACCATTGAAACTGCCTTTTGTTTCAATAGATACACTGTGCACAGAATATACCCTCAACCTTCTTCCTCTAGAGGTTTGTACAAAGCAAGAAAATAGGGTAAGGGCCTCATTAATTGTTCCAGTTAACCCTGGCTAGGAGTTATAAAATTATTAGAGAAATTCCCCTGGTAATCAGGGGTGAGTGGATTATTATTAGAGAAATTCCCCTGGTAATCAGGGATAACAGGTACAGTGGATACCCACACATGCCCTTACTAACTTGACGCTAACCATGGATGAAGCCCTTTACTGACCTGCTGCCCATTCTAGCGATAAGACCTTGCCAAGGACAGATAAATAGAAAGAAATTATACATAGATCTGGAAGAGATGATGTAGGCAGAGGTGTCCAGAAGCCAATCCAGGTATGGCAGGTTCTGGGTATGGGGCAGAGTCTCTAACTGCCTAAAAAGAGGCCAGGAACAAGGGCTCAAGGAACCCCCTAACTTGATTCTTATCAGAGTAACCGTCTATCTTCTCCTTTTCATCCTTTCCAATAAAGCCTTCCCTTCTAAACTTGGTTCGTTTGATCCTTTTCGGGGGCTGAATTCGGGATTCTGAGAGCTGCTCAGACAGCAGAACAGTGGGGCACATCCCTCAGACATGATGTCACTGGCTCGCTGGCCAGGTACTCAGAAGGAAGAGTAATGGACAGGGTCAGTACGCGGGTCCAGAGTCTTCAGCCACAGATTAGCTACGGTCAGCTCTCCATGCTACTCCTTTTGGATGGGTAAAAGGACCTTCCTTTTAGGAAGCACAACCACTTGTCACAGCCAAGAGAGTGCGTCCCGGAGGCAGTAAGCAGCCTTTCCTTCTGGAGCAGGGAATGGATTAGTCGTGTGGTCATGTTAGAAAGTGATGTTGTAACGCCCCCTCGTGGACATTATTTTAAATACACCAGATCGCTACTTTTGGGGGGGGGTGTTTTTGGTTTTTTTGTTTTGTTTTGTTTTTTGTTTTTAATTTAAAGAGAAAAAAGAAAGGGCATAAAAAAACAAAGCAGTAAAAGGGTACAAGTAATACATAATTTCAAGAAAAAATATACAGTAAGAAATCTCTAGTTAATAGGTTACATATTGTCTTCTTAGAAACAGTTGTCCAAATTATAAAACTAAAGCATATAAAGTGGACATTCATACAGTGATATTGGAGACAGTTCCGTTCAATGATCCAGCAAAAGCTCAGTAATATGATTTCCCATCTTACACACTCAAACATACCTGCAGTTATATCCCTTAGTCCACCTTCTTTTCCTTTCTTTTTTACAATAACAATTACACTTTTTGGGTTTTATTACTCCCACAGTTCTTATTACTTTTTTGAAGAGAATAAAAACAAATGTGACTAAGCAAAACAGAGTCAGAACAGAAGGGTGGGCATAGCTTATGATACAAAAATAAAATACCAGGTGATCAAAAGTGGTTACCATTGTGCCTCTTGCTATTTTTCAACTGAGTTGCCTATATCATCAGGTATAATAGAATTGATCAAAACAGTACAGAATAAGACCAATACTTGTTTAAAGTAAGTGATACGGCTTCCCTCTTTCTTTTTTTCTCTTCCTCTTTCTCTTTCTCTTTCTTTCTTCTTTTCCCCTCTTCCCTCTTCCTTCTTTCCTGTATCCTCTCCCTTCTCTCCTTTGTCTTAATTTTAGGATCTCTTCTTTCTTTTCCAGAAACTACAAACTCCCAAACTAAGCCCTTAGAAAGTAATGTTTATTCAGGAGGCTGGGGATTTAGCTCAGTGGCATAAGCGCTTTGCTTTGCAAGCAGGCAGTCATGAGTTCGATCCCAGGTACCGATAAAAGTGAAAAAGACAAAAAATTAAAAAAAAAAAAAGTAATGTTTATTCATAAAGACACTGAAGAAAAAGGCACTCACTCATCTGGCCAAGACTGGGGAGAGGTGTCAGGAGACACACTCCACGAGGAGAAAGCAGCAGCCTCTACAGGTAGCTCCTTAGGGCAGGAATACACTCTATCTTTCTGGGGCAGATACGACACTGGAAATCTTGCTTGCCCAAAGAGAAACTCATAAGGAGAAGCCCCTATCTGACGTCTCAAGCACAGTGTCTCATGGAACCGGTGTGAGAGACAGGATCCTGAGAAAGAGTGGAAAGAACCGCCTCCAGGTGAAACTGGAGGAAGCTATTTCCAAAAGCACAACACTTGTGGCAACTGAAAGGTATTTAGTTTGAGAAACATTCTGAACTGCTCTATCGGTTACTCAGAACCATAGGGCACAAACTCAGTCCACTTGATGCTCTGGCTCCCCCTCACGGGTGGCGGGGGTATGTCCTAAACGGTGCAGATACAGCCTTAGCAACAGAAGGTTGTTCGTGGGCTTTGGTAAAGCCTGGGGCTTAATGCTGAGAAGGAGCTCAATGGCTTGCTTTTCCCACTCACTCTCCCATTAAATCTCTCTACTTCCTATCCCTTTCCCTCCGTGTGTGTGTGTGTGTGTGTGTGTGTGTGTGAGAGAGAGAGAGAGAGAGAGAGAGAGAGAGAGAGAGAGAGAGAGAGATGGTGGGGGAGGAATGGACATCTATTTTTCCCTGGTGTGTAACTTGTGGCTACCAGACAGTGAGAACAAGCTTTAATCTGTGCATTGTATAAGTGTGTTAAAGATACCTAGGGACAAAAGCCTTCAGAGAGAGCTTTAAATAAACTTTGGTCTCAGTTCTCCATCTAAAGAGGACCATAGGAGCAGCACAAAGGCCCCAGAAACTTTTTCTTTAAAGCCCAAGGGCTGGATTTCTTCTGGACCAAAGGTACTAGATCTCCTTCCCAGGCTGGGATTTTCCAGTGTAGTTTGTCCTTTTCACCACTGTCCTCTCAAGAATAATTGGGCCTTGAAGTAAGGCACTAGCCAGACCCCTCCCTCCTCCCTCTCACCTTTCATTTGCTCTGTTACCAGCCCACTGTTTCTGACAATTTGGTTCCTAACTTCCTAAGACACTCGGGCTTCCACAGGGAGTGGTGTGTCATAAGACCTCTCTCCCTACTCTGTGTTTAGTGCTTCTCAATCAAAATCTTGAGATTAAATTAGAAATCAAGCCCAGGAAACCCCAGATACCCATATGTGGCCTCTGCAGGTCATGATTCCTCAGTACTTGTAAGCCAAAGAAACCCCCATTCACTTTGGAATTTCACTTGAGCAGCCATTCTCACTTCCCCTCAGAGAACGGGCCTTCTGGGAGCACTCCATACTTGAAATGTGGCACAAACATCATTACTGGGAAGTGGAGGGGTTATTAAGTCCCTCATCCAGTTCCCAGGGAAGAAAGAACCATCATGGATCCTGGCTCCAAATTCACACACAGGTCCAATGGGATGAATTCTGTTGGTGGTAGGGAGCCAGGGGAGGAGGTTGAGGCTGCAATCAGACCTCCTGGAAAAGCAAGAGACATTCTGGCTTTTGGGGTTCAGATGGAGGGAGAAAATATGCCATGGGTGGATACCTGTAGCCCAGCAGGTTGGATCCTGGGCATCGCTTCTTCCCTCATGCTGGCCTGAGAACCTAGGAACCCCATGCACCAGGGAACAAGGGGACCCTCACATTCAGTCTGCCTTTTCCTCTCTGTTGGCCCATCAGCTATCCTGCCATGCTCACTGCTAGAGTCTCTTTCCCCCAAGTCTGAGAAACAGGACCCTATTCTTTTCCATGCATGGTCAGGGTGACCCCCTAAAGGACCAAAAGAGGGAGCAAGAGGAAGGATTTTAAATTACAACACCATATACCAACTAGGCCCATTTTGCAAAAACAAAGGGAAATGGGGTAAAATAACCCATGTACAATTGTTCTTTGCCCTCAGAAATTACCCCAAATGGATGTCTCTCCTTTGAACCCCCTCAGTTAGTTGCTTTGGGACTAATACCCTTCCATTGTCCCAGTGGGGAAAAATCCAACCTTTAGGCTCCAACAGAGAAAAGATAAAATCCAGAGAATCTACCTATTCTGAATTCAGGTCTAAGGCCTC